TAATAAATATTTACTAAAATTTATTTTTTGGATGGAATTATCTTTTGAAAAACGAATTTTATAATTGTGTTCAAAAATTTTTTAATTCGCTTAAAAAATCCTCGATATATTGCGAAATATGCAAAAAGTAAATTTAGCATTAAGGGATCCAAATTTTGGATCGCTCTCCTAGCCAAACTATCGGGACCATATTTCTCAGTTTGCGGCTAGCCCTATATTTTGATGGTCAGAAATCCGAATCCGCTGAAAAAGAGGAATGTTTATTCAATGAAAGTATATTTTTGCGTCTGATTTCGTAATTTACAATATCGTCTGCACTAATTAATTAACATATTCAAGGTCACCCCCTGGAACCATTTAGTTTGTGTCCTAGAACGTGAAGATCCGATCATTACATCAAAAAAATATTCAGGGTTGTACGTTTTTTTTCTTCTTTTCTTTTCTTTTGGCGAACTGTACAAATTTAAAATTTAAATGCAAAATTTGAACAAAATGGGTCAAACAGTTTTACAAAAATTAAAATTTATAATTAAGCTTTTTTGAAACTCTTTTACTCAGTAATTAATCGAATTTGATTTTTTTTAACTTAAAATTAAATATTTTAAAATAGTATAAAAATGTGTTATTGAAGTTTTTCTACCATTTTTAATAAATTAATTAATATTAGGCAGAAGTTATTTTATTTAGTTTTTTAATTTTTATATATTTATTTATATACTTTATTTATTTTGCACTCTTTGGAACGTTTGTCGTAACATTTGATGTTTCATGCGCATCAGAATTAAATTAAACGTATAATATCTCGATGCCATAATTTGATTAAGCTTAAATAAATATTTCCAACTGAAAATTCATATAAATGTCTTTCTCAAAAATTGATTATATTATGAAAATAAAAGATTCAAAAGAATATTTCTGAAAACTTTCGAATCTTATCTTCGAATCATTTAATTTTCCTCTGAAAATCCTTTCTGAAATCAGAAACATTTACCTAAAAAAAAAGAAGTTTGATCTAATCTATAAATATTTGTGACTCTTTGAAATATTAATTAAACATATGAAAAAATAAAAAACTATCCATCATCAATCATCAGCAAACTTCAAATTACTCCAGAATAATTTTTGTTGAACAGACTATATTAAGACTCATCAAAAACTTCTGTTTTCGCTTGAAATTTATTTCGTTTAGCAATAGATTTTTTTTATACAATTTTTATTTATTACTGTAACAAGAAAAAAGTATCATTCGAAAATAACTTGATATTTTTTTATAAATAAAAACATTTTTTAAATTATCTTTTTTACATAATAATTTAACAAAAAATTTAAATAATTTTATAATTTTTTCATAAATCAATTTTATTTTTTTAAACATTTTTTATAGAAAATAATTGAATAATAAATCATCGCTGAAATATTATTCTTTCTGCAAAGTATAAACAAAGGACATGGTGTTATTAAAAAAAAAAATCTTATACTTTAAATTAAACTTTCGGTATTCATTACTTCATTTATTTACAAAAAGAATTAATTCCTCCTCTCTACCCATCTAAAAAATTCTTTTTAGTGAGTTTAAAAAAAATTTCTCAAATATAAAATTACGCAGTGATTTTTTAATACCCGACATTAAAAAAATTACTAATCGCTTTCAGTTAACTTGCACGAGAAGCAAGGAAAAATTCGAAATTCAATATGCCATTTTTTGCTTTTTTGCTCTTTTTCATTTTTGCATCTGTAGTATTCGTTTTCGTAGCGATTCCATTTTTTCAAACCTTTTATAATTTCCTTGTAATATTTATTTCCTTTGTTGTTCTAATCTTAAAGAAAAACACAGGTTCTTATTTATTTCTTGCACGCACCAAGTATTTGAGATATGCTTTTTTTTTCTACAAATTCGAGTAGCATGCCTTGTTCTAACTCAAAATAGTCTAATAAAGATATTCCGAGGTAATTTGAACTCGTAAAAATGATCTTTTTTGGAAAAACGAGCAGATGTTCGAATGTTAGTTTTTATTCTTTTTCGGCTAAACAGAACTTCAACAAGAACGCAATGGCATAAAAAAACTCCTCCAAAAACATAAAAAAGCTAAGTTTTTCATTTCTTTTCGACACAATAAATAAGAAAGGAAAAAAGTTAATTAGAAAACGAATATTTTTACTTGCAAAGCGTTAAAAACCTTTTTCTCTTTGTTTTTTTTCTACCTTTCATCACGTGTAAAAGTTATTTTTTCCAGTTAAGTTTTATTTTAACTGTTTTTGAATTTGGAAAAGAAAGTTTTCGGGTTGAATGGGAAAGCGTTACATTTAACAAGATAAATTAATTCCCGTAATCTTGCCGAGAGGGTGTGTATATGTGTGAACAGCAAATACTGTCTTCACATTGCGTATTCGCAAAAAGTTTTACTTCCCTTTTCTGTTTAAATTCTTAACATAATCAGTTTGGAAAGAAAGGGGAGATTTAAAAGCAAAAAGGGAAACAGAAGAACCAAATAAATAAATTTAAAAAAAAAGAATGCAAAAAGCATTGTAAAATATTTTTTAACGATGCGTTTAATTGCGAACGCTGTGTTTGTCCTCTGACAGATGATTATATAATTCGGCGTAGATTTCATGCAGCACCACTAATACCTCATTAAAGTTGAGGAAACGGTACTTTCAGTTTAAATGATGGGTTATTTTTCGGGCTTGTAGAAAATAAAAAAACTCAGACTCATTATGTTTATTTAGGTTGTGTGTTTTTTTCCCTTTTTTTTAAAACAGCACGCATATAAATAAAGAGATTTTTTTTTCGTAAAAGAGAGATGTATTAATCTCTTTACTGTCGTATTTCAAATTTAGAGATATTTTATCACCATTAATATACTCCGAAAGTTCTTAATTAAATGTTTGAAATATGATTTCGAGCGAAAAAATAAAATGAAGAACAAATTAAATTATGGAGCTTTTTGTCATTATTTGCTCATGAATTTGTTTTAAGAAAATTGTGTTTGAACAAATAAAAAATAGTTCTTAATTCAAGCGAGGTACAAATTAAATATCTTATATTAAAGAATTTTCCAAACAATAACATCAAAGATTAAATAAGCTATATTTTGTATATCAATATTGCATTGCTGATATAGTGAATATGCATTATTGTTAGAACAAGCAATTTTGAAATTAAATACAAAGAAAGAATATTTAAAAAATATCACCAAATATTGATAGCCTGTACATCATATTGGCATTGTGAATGCACTGCACTTTTTGGGGAAAGATTAATTTAAATTTAAAGAAAGAATATTTAAAATAACTAATAATAACGAATAATTAAGAACTAATAATCGATTTTTTTACATTCATATTTGTAAAGTCGGCATTGTGAACACACATAATTTTTATATTCAAGCAAGGTTCAGCTAGTACATTTAATTGAAAATAGCACTAAGGCATACAGGCCTACCTTTCATAGTTATATTGTAAATAATGTAAACTTACATAATTTTTAAAGTAAGCGATGTTCAAGATAATTGAGGAAATCTATTATCTTTTTTATCTCTAATATTTTATAACCGTCGTTGAACAGCCTACCCAATTTTGGGTTTACGACTATTAATCTTCAACTCCATAGCCTTGTAATTTTGAACTAATCCAGAAGACAAGGAAACTCCTGGATCAATTTCTCCCAAATTTCACACTTTGCCATGCAAAATTACTTTTTCCACGAGGTATGGTTTGCTATGGGAACATGGAGAACTTTGTGACTCTACAGATTTAACTTGCACCAGTCACCATTTATCACTGGGAGTCTTCGGCCAACGGGATCAAACCCACGCCCTTTAGGACATGGGCCCAGTGTCCAACCAACCAGGCTATCCCGGCCCTTATCTCTAATATTGCCAACATTGAACATGAACGTAATTTTTAGGGCAGGCAAGGCGTTAATAAATACTTAAAAATAACATCATTTTTTGTCATGCTGAAATATGATGCATTACATATTTCCTAATATTTAAAAACTAAATTGTTACGTTATTTAATATTTTTCTCAGTAAATTAAAATCATTAATACACTCGGTAATCTTTTAATACCACATCCTTGAATTGAGTGCGGAATAAAATCTATTTTTAGAGATTCCCCTCTACATGTGCCTAACAAATCAACCCAGAATTTCTTAAACTGTTATATGGTTGCTAATGTTTGAATTCATTAATATTCATTATTATTTCTCACACTTTCTTTTGTCGCCAATACATTTGAATGAGTAAGACTAAGAAAAAGAATCTTGGTAGTAAATTAAATCAATTAATAGCCAATATATGAATGCCTTAGCTTTCCTTGGCGAAAACTATTTTAATGTATACAGGACACTCGGATTTTTGAGGGTGCCCTGTGGGGGTTGGTGCAGCAGCCACACCCTCTTGGCCATTTTCCAAATTTATAATGTATATTAAAAATTGAGATTAATCTTTTCTTTTGGGTTCCACGTGTTAAGAAGAACCAATAAAATTTTTTATAGGCTCTGATTTTTATAATCCTGTCTTCAAAAAAACACTTCTTAACTTTTCATTAAAATGGTCGTCCAAAGAATTATGACTAAAACCATTTTATATTTAGTTTCATCACAGGAAGCATTTTTGAAAGATACTTAATTCAGAAAAAGGACTCCATTAACACTTCTAAAATTCAAAAAATGCGTTGCATAAAATAATTCCGTTCACATAACACTCTTCGGATTTAAAAATGCATTGAATAAAACAATTTAACATTTCATAACGTTAAAATAACACTCTCGAAATTTAAAAAATGCGTTACATAAAATAATTTACCATTTCATACCATTATCAAAAACTCCTGAGATTTCAAAAATGTGTTACATGAAACAATTAACCATTTCATGCCGCTAATATAACACTTCTGAGACTTTAGAAATGCGTAACTTAAAAAAAAATTATTATTTCATACCATTAACAAAACACTCTTAAGATTTTATTGCATAAAATTATTTATCATTTCATACCGTTTAGAAGGCGTATAGTATCTGCAGATGTTGTTCTTAGAGCTTCTTCGTATTGCGCCCTCTTCTTAACTTCTGACTCCAATTGTTCTTGGAATCTCCTTCGAGATCTTTTCTCTTTCTTTAGACGTTTTTGATATAATACTAGAAATGAAAAAGAAACACTCAAAAATTTTATAACTAACAGAAAAAAAGTGTTGCTATAAATTATATCTAGGATAAATCTTTGAAAATAACTAAAAGTATTTAACACTCTCTGCCTAAGCTGCTTCTATCAGAACAATTTTGGAAAATTGAATTTCCTTAATTTTCTTATGAGTATAAAGATAAAGTTTTGATAGTTGTTTTTAAATAGCAAGACATCACTCTGTTCACTATCGCCTTTCGTATCAGATTTCTGACTCATTATTAACTCATGCAAGTTAATTATTTAATTACAATTGGTTAGTGAAGTGAGGTATTTTTGTTCAATTTTTAGTTTAGTAAATTTCTTTGTTTTTTTATTTTTTAAAGAAATTAAAAGTTACATTACATTGAAATTTATGTTTGAAAGAATTCAATAGATTTTCTACTAAAAAAATCCTTTTTTGGCACCATCAAAACAGATAAATTTTTTTTATTAATTTTTTGTCAAAAATAATACAGAAGAAAAAGAGTTAATCACGTGTTAGTTGTTTGAGTGAACTGGAAAGAGTTAACCCATGGTTCTGCATACAAATAGGTAAAAAAATGAAGGCTTAATCAGACAGATTTATCATTATATATTGCTATAAAATGTCGATACAATTTAGTTTTTCAAAATCATCTTTAATATTATTTAAAAGTTAAAAATATTTTAATCAAAAACCCATTAAAAATTTAAATTAAATTACAATGGAACGTTTTTCAACTTTAGTGGGAAAACCTAAATATATTACAATGCTATTATTATAATTTTGTTCAGTTTTTTTGAATTAAAATCGAGTAAAATTTGTTTAAGTTAAAACAGAGTGGCCATTAACAACTAGGAAAAATCCTTGAATTTTCTAGAGTGATTTTTATCAAATTTTCCTGATTTTATAATTTTTAATTATAATTTTCATTATTAATTTTTTAGTTAATTATTAATTTTGATTATTTGGTTCAATATAAAATAGATATAGTTATTAGTATAAAATTTTAATTCGTAATTATTTAGTTATGCCTATTTTTATAAGCAAAATGTATTATTAAATACTAATAGCAATTTGAATTGAACACAAGCAATTAAAAAAGCAATTTAGTTATCCGAATTGATAAAATCCCCTAACTTTTTACTGGTCTATATCCACTCTGCGAAAAAGCAGATTTCAAACTTTAACTAGATAACAGTTTTATAATAATTTCATTTATGTCATAACAAGACTCGATTATTTATTTGATACACAAATTTTAATTTGCAAATTTAAACAATTCATTCTCGATCATTATTAAAGTTTCGTAATAAATAATACGATACGACTAATAATACGATGTACATAACACTATTCTCAAACAAATATGGCACAAGATTATGTGTTTTATCTAGAACTTTCCGTTCTTTAATGCATATGTAATCTCGATAAAAGTAGGATAACAACTTTTTTGTTCGACATCCGAAAGACATAAAAAAAAAACTCAGCCCACCCCCGACAGCTGCATAAAATGGTTCGAATATTTGGAAATAAAAATATCTATAAGAGCATTCGGAAATATTTCTATAAATCTTTTTCGTGGAAAATAAATAAAATAACTTTTAGAGAGTGCATGGGTCTCGAAAAGCGAATAAAGCAGTGTTGAACTCCATTGAAGCTTTCCTTTTCACTGGAGTTGCAGGAGATTTTTGAAAGAAAGTGAAGTAATTCAGTTATCAGAATTTATTCAATTCAACATTTTCCCGAGCACAGGGAAAAAGTCATATTCTAATGTAACTCTGCTTTTAGAGCACATAAATGTATTACTGCAATGCGTTATAAGATTAACAAGCTGTTATAATTATTTTTCTTTTCTATTTTTCCTACCATATAAGTATTATTATAATGCCATATAATTATTACAATTATTTTTTTTTATATTTTCACTGCAGTTACTTATATATCTGTATCAAAATATATTGGAAAATGGTTTTGATATATTCTTTATCAATAACTCAAATTTATTATATTGAAATTATGAAATTTATACTGATTATCATACATTTCAAACCATTAAATAGCATATTTAATTGGGCACTTCTAATTTAATCATCAATAAAAAATATGTAAATAAAATAAAATTGTTAATTCATAGTTTATTTATAATTCACATGAAAATTGTTTCTGCTAAATCTGTTATTTTTTCTTTTTTTGAAAAGTAACTGATAAATTTTATGTTTAATTCATTTTCAAAATAAAAGTGTAATGGATTAGTAATATGTTTTAGATTCAACTAAAAATTTACGTAAATTTTGATTAAAGTATTCATTAAGTATTTTGAAATAAGTTAGAAAAATCAGTTAATATATGTAGTATCACTCTGTATTAATAATAAAATATTAATATTACTCTATATTACTCTATTTTAGCTTTTTCTTTACATTTTTGTTTAATCAATATCTCATATAACTTTTTAATCGTTGAAATTACCTCATTTATATCAAACTATCAGCTTTTATGCAATCAAAACCAATTATTACTTTTATTATTGATTTGAAATGTAGAAGAAAAAGTATCACGAAATTATAATAAAAGCATTATCAACAGTTTCACATTAACAAATTGGAAGATAAATATGTTATTTTCCAATATATTTTTCGCTTATTATCTTATATTAAATTTATGCAGAATTCATTGAAGTAATATGAAAAATCAAATTTTGTTAATAACACAAACAGTTAAATTTAATATGGCAAGTGACTAATGTCCTTCTTTTCATTCTTTCTTTTCATAAAAGTGTTTTGGAATAACAAACTCATGCAAACATGAATAAATATTTCTTAATTATTTCCTTACATTTAACGTAAGTCAATATCTTATTCAAAATCATTTTGAACATAAGTGTAAATTAAGTTCTCCATTTCGTTTGTCTCCTTAAAGTAGTGAAGTAGTCACAATTCAAAAGTAGTTTGTAGTTACTACATTTAAAATGAGTATTTGTAGTTAACTACATTTGTCACAAAGTAATTATAGTTGTATTAAACTACAAAAATAATGAAGTTTTTCCGGCCACTGATCTAAACCTATCCTTTAAATATTCTACAATAATCCGTGAGCTTTCTTCGTACAATTGTACTTAAGTCACTTTTCTCCAGTTTTCTTCCATCCATAAACGCTCTCTGAATGACGTCATAATCAGTAGACCACAGCTGAGTTGGAATACTTTTTCGGAAACAGCACAGCCTAATATCCAGGGCCACAAAAATCCCCACAGCGCCTTTTTATTTCCAATTCCCTTACAAATATATATGACTTCCTTTTATATATCGGGGGAGCAGCGGTACATAAAAATCGTAACATCCATTCGGAAGGGTCACCGTATTTCTTCTCCTGAAATGGTTATGATTATTTTTATACTTCTCCGGGACTTTGTCACTCGCCCTGGAGAGGAAACCGGAACGGATTACGATATCGGAAACTGGATGAATTACGGCGGAAAAAGGACATTTCGAAGTCGTTCTGTCGGACCTTTACGGAATTGCGGACGTTGGTCTTGTGCCATTGACTTTTAACTGAAGACAATTCGAAACGGATCATAAGAATCCCGATTATTCCAGAGATGGAATATGTTCATCTATATCTGCAGGAATGATAAAAAAATTATTTCTTTTATTTGAATCGAGTAAAAGAACTTTTATACATGAAGGCTGGCTGCATTAAAAAAATTACAATTTCTTAGAAGAAAAATTTATCTAATGCAGTATTAATACATTCATTCTTTATTCAAAGGGGGAGAGGAAGAATCTACATTAAAAAATACCTAAAAATTAACTCAAAAAAAGTACTCAAGGTGCCATTTTTTGATTTTTTTTTAAAAATTTAAAATACAATATTTAACGGTTACAATTTACGGTAAGAAAATCTACTTAAGTTATCCGCATGACTCAAATCCGGAGAATCTGTATAATAAACTAACTCACTACCCTCCCGTAATACAGTGAGGATAGTTACAAGTACTCTCAAAAATTAAACTCTCACTTTTGACGATTCTGCAATCCTTGAGTTGCATTTTGTTAACTTTGAGAATCATTTCGTCATGAAATAAAGTGATTTGGGATGAAGAGCGATTGTATGACGAAAATGTTTCCTTAAATTGGAACTTCGTCGAAGTGGCTTTTTATTTCTATTTTATAACACTCTTTGAAAAGCCGATACAATTTTATGGGTTTACGACTACTAATGTTCAACCCCATAGCCTTGTAATTTTGAACCCAATCCAGAAGACAAGGGAACTCCTGGATCGAGTATTGGAAGAAATTTGCCGTCGTGGAGAAGAAATTTGCCGTCGTGGAGGACTTTTTGATGGAGCTAACCCGAATTTGAGTTATATGGAGAGGAAGACTACGAGAACATCCCACTGTTAGCCTAATGGCAAGGGGACTCAAACCCATGATCTGTCTACTACTGAGGATATTTCACGTCAGCACTGTGGTCGGTGCGGGATTTTTATCGACTGGGAATCAAACCCGGTTCGCCGCATTGGAAAGCGAACGCTCTTTCCTCTGAGCCATCGTGGCTCCATAGCAGTGCATTGTGAGAGATAGCTAAAATGAATGCTAGACAATCGAAAGTAAAATCACGATGTCAGCCGACTGTGCTGTATGGTGGTTAAGGAGTTAACCTCATACCCACTTCAAGATCCCGCTTCGGGAATGGTGCAATTTATTCCTCTGTTCTATCCATCCTTGTGTTGCAGGGGTGACGTTGATTCACGTGTATGGTGCCCTCAAAAAAGTGATCAACAATTCCACCCGTATTTTTTTTTTCGAAAAATAACGACGAGAGTTATTTACTTGTCATAAAATCCATTTCCTCGAAAAGGTGGTGATAGTTTTTTCGCCCCTTTGACAAAATGTTCTCTCGGAGCAAATACAAGAAAATGGTTTCGTCAAAAACGAAGAAGGGTTACGTGAGATTTTAGTATTTATTTCTCACAGTTAAATTGGACGAAAT